ATCTCCCAGCAAAGCAGCAAGAAAGGATCGTCCTTTCTACCATAGTTAAGAAAATAGTACGAAAGATTGAGACCGATCCTGATTTGCTTGTAGCCCCTTTGATACCGCAGCAGTTGATACCTATCCTGTTGAGGCCGGGCAGAAGCAGTAGGAGGTAGCAGATAGTACTGTTCCCAGACTACCACTGCACGATTGAATAACGAAGGCCCCCAGCTCCTGAGGAGAGCTGGCCCAAAAGGGTCCAGCAGAGAGCTCTGCTGGCCCTCCTGTCTGACTGACAGGGCCAAGTCCTTGGTTTGGGTGCCTACTGGAGGTGTTGGATACTCCTGAGGCACGACAAGGCTCCCTGAACTGCCTGACTACCGCTGTCCCTGAGGAAGGATTTCAGCGAGCCCCAGTCCACTACTTGGGTATTGGAACTGAACCTTCAAGAAACTTATTGCAGTACAAGGAAGAGATCAGAAGGATTGCAACAGCAGCAGAGGAAAGCATCCGCAAGGACTTCAGCTTTGAAGACAAGACCTTCACCTACAACAAGCTGGAAAGACAACTAAAACTTCCACAGTTTCGGGAAATTGAGAAGAATGGCAGGCTACCAGACAACACTCCAGAAGACAGGCGAAAGTTCTTTAAGAGTTATTGACTAGCTTAACCTACATACGTAGCATATCATTGACCAAGGAGAGAGTGGAGCCACCGGACGTTAATTCTAGATTCCCCTCCCTCTCTAAAAAGAATGAATATCAGTGCGATTCACGATTGAAGCCTCGCGGCGTTTGAGCGACCCAAAGAAGCCTCGCGTTGTTTGAGCGACCCATTCAATCCTCGCGGCGTTTGAGCGACCCAGCCTCGCAGCGTTTTAGCGACCCATGAAGCCATACGGCGTCTGAGCATCCCATAACGGGGACGGGGGACGATACACAAAGCCTCGTGGCGTCTGAGCGTCCCATGAAGCCATATGGCGTCTGAGTGTTACAAACAATACATGTGTTATCCTTACAACGCAATATATTGCGTTGACGGTACGGATAAACGAACCCTCAATAAAGTCAGGATTATATCACAGAGTAACTCACCCCGCTCTCGCCTAAGTAACTTTCTGTTTTCGTCCACCTGACTAAAACATGTTTTCGTCACCTTGACTAAAACTAACATTGACCATCCTTCCCAAATCATGTTTTAGTCAACAAGGCTAAAACCCGTTTTAAACCTAAAGACCGAAACTTGGTTTAGTCCGTAAGGCAAAAACAACTCGGCGCTCGTTCGCGTGCGTTATGCCAGCGAAATGGTCATAATTTCATTTGGATTGGATTTAGATTCACTCCACAAATCAACCCACATCCACAACAAGAACAACCTCCCACTCCATCCACAGCCAAATCTCCACATCTATCCCCCCTCTGCACTCCCCACAGCCCAAGAAGACACACAGAGAGTCTCCTTACTAACACTACTACTACTCCAGCACAGATCTCTAGCTGGAAAGAGACCAAACACAAGGAACAAGCCTGTAAGTGCCCGGTGCAGTTTTTCACACGTTTTCGTCTTACCGACCAAATCATGTTTTCGTCGTATTGGTTAAAACATGTTTTCGTCGTATTGGTTAAAACATGTTTTCGTCGTGTTGGTTGAAACATGTTTTCGTCGTGTTGGTTGAAACATGTTTTCGTCGTACCGACCAAATCATGTTTTTGTCCTGTTGGTTAAAACATGTTTTTGTCGTGTGGGTTGAAACAGGTTTTTGTCGTTTGGGCTAAAACATGTTTTCGTCGTGTGGGTCAAAACATGTTTTTGTCATGTGGGTTAAAACATGTTTTCGTCGCGTTGACCAAAGCTTGTTTTAGTCGTCCCTACCAAAACATTGATGCCTGTGATTATCTTAATGTTGAGGAATATTTCTTCAGTCTCCTGATCCTCGTTGTTGACTCATACTCTTTCTCTTTTCTCTTCCTGTTCATTAGACTGACTGCCTATTGACATTATGTCTACTTCAAAGAAGGGCAAGGGTGGTCGTGGCAAGCAGAACAAGTCTCCACAGGCAAAGTCCAGTGAGAAGTCCGCCAGTCAGAAGGCTAGCATTCTTGAAAAGAAAAGGAAGAATGTTATTGGTGCATCCTATGCCACTCATTGCTACATGATCGGAGATCAATTGATCCCATTCAAATGGTACTTTGATGATGTGCTAGCACCTCAGCTTAATCCTCCCGAAGAACCCATGCCTGAACTTGGTGCTGTTGACAATGGCGAGAGACAAGAGACGAAGTACACCCAGTTCCTGAACCACAGCAACGCTTCCTTCTATCACCGATATTGTTTATTGGAAATAGCAAACCCCAATACTTGTGCGGTGTTCGAGCAGAGATATGGACAACATGAGTATGTGATCGCCCCAGTCCATGATGAAGTCTGCCGAGAAGTGATTTCAGGGTCGAACTTGCAACCACTGTTCACTGTTGGCAATGCCACAGAGAATGGTTGTCTGTGGCCCAATGATGACAAAACTCTTGAGCGTCGAAAAAATGGAATCTTAGACATCTTTGGGAAGGATAAGTTCTCGACCAAGTGATTTGGAGCCAAAAGCTGTGTCATACTTGAAGACTTGACACAAATTGATCTTATCTTGCCCTTCAACATTGTCCAACAGAATCTGTGATGGTCTCCATGAGTGCTCCCCCCTCCTGCAAATCTCCATGGAGGACTGCTGGTGGCAAGTTGGCCATAGGTTTGATTGAGTTGTTTTGTTTGTTGATGTTGCCTCAAAGCGTGTTGTGTGTGCTGCTGAAAAAACATGTTTTGGTCTCAGAAAGAAACAAGGTAAGCGAAACTTTGACAGAAAGAAAGAGGAGCCAAGCCAAATTTTCGTCTTTCTGACCTGTTTCTGTGTTTTGGTCGTCTGGACTAAATCATGTTTTGGTAATTGGGAATAAAACGCGTAATAGTCATTAAGGTTAAAACAAGTTTTAGTAAATCAGAATAAAACAAGTTTTAGTAAATCGGAATAAAACAAGTTTTAGTAAATCGGAATAAAACAAGATTTAGTAAATCGGAATAAAACGTGTTTTAGTCATTAGGACCAAAACTTCAGTTGGGTTTGCAAGCGGGGTGAGATACTCTGTGTTATAATCCTGACGAGTTCAACTCCTTACGTTTTTAATAGCAACCTAACACACTTCGGAAAGAGAGATAAGATAATGTATTTCTATAGGTTAGCGTCGACAATGGCGTCCATTATCTTCGAGTGTTGAAAACGAATTCCGTGACATCGCTTTGTGCATCAAACCTTAGACGAACAGCAAATGTGAGGCAGTTAATTGAAACCCAGCAAGAATGTCGATTAGTCTATCGAATATCAAACGTCACCTCGGTCCACGGTCCTCCTACTTTTTTTCTATAGTAAACTGCCTCTGGGGACCAACGTTAATTATAGGTTCATCCTCTTGTCTTGAAGAATATACGTCGGTTATACAGTTTACGCGCCACTGCGGCGATTGAGCGGCCCCGTTCTGCTAAAGTACAAGAACTTTGAGGGAATCTCCCTTCATAAGGTTGGCGACGAAGCGTGGTTAGCTTCGACTAGACCCGTTGAAGACGTGCAAAGGCAAACAATAAAGAAGAAAACTATGAGCATTGCTGCTCTTTACACAACTAGCTAAAAGTCTGCATAGCTGCAAAAGCAATAATAATGCAGGGAAGCTGTGAAACAGGCCAAAATAGGGTAAGAGGCACCACTGAAATTGCCAGTTTATCAGTTCGAGCGTTCGGACCTGGACGATCCACCCTCTTTTAATTCCAATCTCCTTTTCATACCACGATCAGTAACCGTATTGGAATCCGGTACTAGTACCTAGCTAGCTGGATGAAGGTCGTAGTCTGCCTATGTAGAGGTCAAGCGTTGAAAACCAATTCAGTAACTTTGTTATGTGCTTAAAATAAATATGTGCTTCAAATACCGAATCCCAAATGAGGTACGCAGGTTAATCGAAACACAGCAAGAATGCAGGTCTGCGAAGAAAGTATCAAAGAAGTATATCCAGTAAGAGAGAAACCAGCGGGTAGGGTGCCTCCTTAAGGCAAAACAAGAGTTGGTCTGTTCGCGCCGCGCAACAACCACCTTGGTATTTCCAAATGGTCCACATCTCCTTCCAGGCATGACATCTCAAGATCAATCACAATGAACCACCTCTCCCTGACCTGCAATGTTCATGGAAACGAAATTACTTGGTTTCATGTCAGTCAGCTTAATCCCATGATCAAAAAGCATTTGTGCACTTTGGCGAGCCTGAAAGATGTCGCTGTCTGACCATTCCAATGGATCTGATGGCATTGCGCGTCCTGCTTTGAGGCAAAGACAGAATCTACTGTCATCTGATGCTATGAATAAAGGCCGAGGAACTGCAACATCCCACAAACCTGCTTTCCCAGCCAAGTCATAGGCTCGAACCTCACTTTCAAAGTATTGCCGGGCCTCTCTGATGTTCGTGATAACCTTGACTGCCGCTGGGATTCCATGCCAGTCTGTTGCCACCACCCAACCCTGTTTATCACGTCCCAAAGAACTCACGAGCAAAGTCCCTTCCTTGAAGGTGGGAATGGTTGGTAAGAGACAGATTAGAGAGGGGCTTGTGGTGCCCGTTGTCTGGTGTTGCTGGCCGTCTATTGTCCGGTGTCTTGGTTGTGTTTCTGCTTGAATTTGATTTCCCCGGAGTGGGCATTTTTTGTTGCTCGGGACCTTTTAGAAAGCTACCCCCAGAGGAGGGCAGTGCCAGCAGTGTTCCAGCTTTAACTCCACGTAGTTTGTTCTCTTGCGACAAGTTTGCACGCACCAAGAACAAGTACAGGACCTTCAAGAAATCCTCGTTGTTGACCATCACGCATTCAGAAAGGTAAATTCCTGGCCCTTGGTTTGAGAAAACATCCAGAGTTTCCACTTTCTGCTTCTTTGGTGCCGACTGTCCTCCTGCGTCACTGGCAGGTTGCTTGGATTCCTGTGCAGACACCCAAATAAAATAAGCACGACCGGACGTCATGATGATGCCATAGTAGGCAACCTGATCCGCCTTCATGTAACCCAACAATCGAGCCAGGACTAGGGGACAGGCAAACAACGCCTCCTGCATCTGATTGTTGAGTCCCAAAATCATATCCTCCCGACCTTCCTTGCAAGCAACCGAAAAAGTTAACTCGTCCAACAGGAGACCCTGAAAGAGACTTTCGCTTTTTTCTTCTATAGCGACCAATTTTCTACCATTCCTGCGTGCGATCACCCTGGTGTCGGCCGCTCCATGACTAATTTGCCAAGGACAATCCGTTGAGAATGACATGCTGTGCTTCTTCTGCAAAAGCCGAGAGAGAGGTAAATAGACCTTGTAAGCCAAATCCCGTCGGTTATCATCCTCACTGAACAGAGGAGACCTTGCGTCAATCGGAGGTAAGGCCATCTCCACAGGGTCGGTAGAAGGAGTGAAGTCTTGAAGCAGGGTTTTCTTCAGGGTGTCTGCCTCTACAAACTTCAGGCATTCGGGATTGTAAGGTACACTCCCCGCCTTTTTCTGTGCAAATGTCTGCTGTCCATTCTTCAGACTTGGCATCTGGAAGCGAGTGGACAAAATAGTAGCCTCTGACAGCCCAGAACTCGCAAATGCTTTGATGGTGTCAAAAGGAGTTGCTGCCATGTTGCTTCTAACATCGTACGTGAAGGCGCACACAGAAGGCCCTGATTGCAGCAGGATTGTGATTGTGGAGGACAGTCAGCGAAGGTCGCTGGTGATTGTTTCGTGTCAGGTCTTCAGCATGGAAGAAAACACCCGGCGTGCACGCGGAGTAGAAAGACTTAGAAGAAATTTCAGGTGCATGGGATTACTTAGGGAACCTCAATGGTCCAGGTCCCGTCTTTCACAGCCGAAACGCCGAAACGATTCCGAGTATCCGTAACCCGTGACGTTAGTTTTACCGTTACCCCAATTTTTCACGGGTAAACACTTGAAGCGCGATCCTGTCCTGGATTTAGCGACTACCAGTAGTAAAGACAGTTAAGAGAGCAAGCTGAGACTGTGTATCTTTCCCTGTCACATTTTGTTTGCCAGCCCAATCCGTCTGGCAAACAGGAGGTATCGTCCTGTACCACGTACTGGACTACGAATAGAGTTATCTTATTGATGAGGTAGGAATGTATAAATAATCGGATCGCCGCTGACGAAACCATGCAATAAGCCACCACAACACGGTACTAGCTAGTACTAGTAGTACCGGTACAGTTGTTCCCGGCAAGATTGTCCATTAGCTTTGCCGCTAAAAAAAAATAAAAAAATTTGCCACGCTAAATCACAGTCAGCCTGTACCATCTGAAAAATCCTATGGGCTTTTTACATTGTGTATCGATAACTCATACATCCTCTGATGAAGGGCTTAGGATGTTTGGAACATTGTGGAACGATACGAAACATCAGTTGGAAAACATTGGTATACCATGTTTTCTCTTAAGGCACTTGTGGAACCGATGTCTTCTCTTATGGGGCACTGGAGGAGCCGATGGTTTCTCTAAAGGGCACTCCCACAACCGATGAAAACATCATGGTAAATCAAAGCAGACATAGCAATATGATACCAGAGAACATTGAAAGAACACAGAGAACAATGGGACTTCCCAAGTATCAAATCCATACACATCAGAAAGAACATCAATAGCACAAGTCAAACATCAACCATTCAATGTAACGAGTACAAATAAATTGAGTAGGTCAACTGGAAACAAAGTATACTAAAGTGTAAAGGTACAGATTTATCAATTGAAGAAGAAGCAAGCTAACAGATAGAAGATTATCACTACCAATAAACCAACAACAAAGAAGCCTCAAAGTACACAAATGGTTGACGAAGAGCAAGTAGTCTCATTCATCGTCATCTTCCAATTTATTAGCATCGTTCAAACCACCGGACTGAATCCAAACTGGTCCAGTTGCGGGATCCCTCACAACATACATCTCTGGGGTTGGCATTTTGATAATACCAAGCTTGACCTCCCAACGTTGAATAGACATTACAATATTTTCATTGCGGTACCACATCATGAAAGTGGACAAGTGTTTATAAAGCGGGCAGAATTTCTGACCCAGTCATCCTCTCTCCAGGAGTAATTCCTCGGGGCCCGTCCGTAGATCTCCCTTTCCCTTTTACCACTCCTATATTGCTTCACAACATTGAGATTATAGTTGATTTGCCGGACCATATTCATCGCATCCTCCATTAGGAAGAAGGAGAGGGTCATAGCATATGGCCACTTCTTACCAAGCATGTCCATAGTTGACATCGACTCTAGTGGCCGCTTCAGGAGCCAGCCCTCAATGCTTGCTACACAGGTACGATATAGAAAGGACACTGCCTGAAGCACCTCGCTGTCATCACCATACTGCCCATCTGGTCCCTCTCGAAGTCCAACCTCTGCAGCTGTGACTATTGGTTGGTGTTGGTACAGCTACTGCGCATGGACACAGGACACCTCTTGCACATCGCACAGCACAGTGCAGTAAGAGCACCTGCTTTTGCCGGCAATCTGACTTGCCAGCAGCCGAAAAGCGGCCCGGCGGGCGCATGGGGGCTCGCCTCGCTCTCGTCACCCCCTGCCGGCGAGGAGCTCTGACTGGGACATCATCCGCGACCGGTGATGGATGACGATCGCCTCATCCGGTCGCGACTGGGCGCGAAGTGCTAACCGGTGAGAGCTTGGAGGCAGATCCAGCCGCGCGGCCTCGCTTCTTCCAACGGGCAACATGGCCAACTCACACACGGTGGAGTTCAAGGGCGTTCGCACACCCTTGCCTCGGCCGTGGCTCGGGAGGGGCGGATTTTACAATCTTAAGAGTAAAAACATGGCCGCTTTCAAAGCAAAGATCAAAGGCAGCATTCCTGAGGCTGGCGCTCCAATGCTCCCGTCCAACAAACCCGCGCGTGTCGACATCAAATTCTTGCACGCAAGCCAGCAATGGAGGCCACCCTGCTTGCTTAAACAGCCCAAACGGCAGCGGAGTGGACCTCTCCAAGGGCAAAACCAATGCCGCAGTTAATTAATTACCTTTCCCTTTCTTTTGATTTTTGCTTAAAGGTCGAACCTCCCTCGATATTTAACGGAATAGGGATGTTTTGTAAGGTCAAAACGTGTTGGATTGAAGTGGAGAAGTCACTTCATGCTGGTTCGTGCTGCTTGAGAAGCAGAGGATTTAACATTTAGTACCGCATGGCTAAGGTCAAAACACGTTTGGGGCCCTCGTGATAAGAAAGTATCAGAAAAAGAGGAAAGGTAGCTCATACTGTAATTAACGACCCTAGGGGGAGCCACCGAGGAGCATGGATTTTTGTAATGAAATTATTTTATTAAAATACAAGGATTAGAGATAAAGAAAGAGGAAGCGCAGGAAACCTAGCTCTAGCTAGAGTACTGGTACCGGTACTATCTAGCTAGCTAGCTAGTCTAGTAGTAGCTAGCAGCGGCGATATAGAGTACCATTTCGTGTTGACAAAGCACAATCCTACTATTTAACTATAGATTCGTATGGTAGTTTGCATAAACATTATCAAATTCCTTTTCACAGGAATAGCCGAATCGTGATTTGGTAGATTCGTACAGTACTTTGTATAGTAAACGTGTCTATTCAGGCTAGTAAGAAAAAGACATTTCGTATCCTGCACAGGCTTATAAAGAGCTACATATAATGAGAATTCGTGACTACACCTGTAGGTAGATTGATACAGAATAATATATAGTAAACGATAATATAGGTGCAAAAGCGCTTTTATGCAGGATTCGAACTATTGACTTTATATCTCCTGTTAACCAGTAAAAATCGTTTCCTGCACAGGCATAATTAAAGGTGACAGTTGAAACATGCATTGATTCGACAAACGGAACAAGAATCCTGCATAGAGCGAATATGTATAGTACCACAGTACAATTTCGTGTATTGACTTGTATGTAGATTCGTATAGCCATATGTATAGTAAACTATGCTAAGGGGTGCAACGGCGTGCTTATGCAGGATTCGAAATTGATTGCTTATGTCTTTTTTTACATAGTAAGAATTGGACATTCTCTTTCCTGCATAGGCGCATGTAAGGGTTTAAGCCTCAAACTCGAAACATGCATTGAATAAAATCATATAGTAATAATGTATGTTTTAAATAGTTCTGGACACATGCCTTGTCTCTGTAGGCGTAATAAAAAGCAGGAATATTGTAACATGTTTACAATCTATAGTACAAACGTATAGTAAAATAGTAGTATTGTGGTTTGTGTTCATCAAATCTTACTCCCAGCGCATTTGTCTAAGTTGCGCAAGTTTGTGTAGCCTTAGTAGAAAAGGCTTAAATAAATGCTTCATTAATAAGCGTGTGAGAGACTGAGGTAAACTCTCCTCAGTGTTAACGACCCTAGGGGGAGCCACTGAGGAAAATTGATTTTTGTAATAAAATTATTTTATTGAAAACCAAAGGTTAGAGATAAAGAAAGAGGAAGTGCTGGAAAACCTGCATAAAGGACGTAATAAAGCTAGCTAGACTACTCGAGGCAGAGTATCATTTCGTGTTGACAAAGCACAATCTTACTATTTTACTATAGAATCGTATGGTGGTTTGCACGAACAGAACCGATTTCCTTTTCGAATCGTAAATTAGTAGATTAGTACAGTACTTTGTACAGTAAATGAGGCTACTATATTAATAGTACATAATTGCGTGTAAAAGCGTTGATATGCAGGACTCGAATTACTTATCGCCTATCTTGACCAGTGACATCTTATGAGAATGCGTGACTGCACATGTAGGTAGATGCGTACAGCAAAACGTATAGTAAAAGATACTACAGGTGCAAAAAAAGGTTGCTATGCAGGATTCGAACTATCGACCATATATCTCCTGTTAACCAGTAAAAATCATTTCCTGCACAGGCATAAGTAAAGGAGAACTTTGAAACATGCATATCTTGTTCTCTCGTGTTCCGAGATTCTCCAAACGGAACACAAATCCTGCATAGAACGGTTTCGTATAGTATAACAGTGTAAATTCGTGAATTCTCTTTTGGTAGATTGTTACAGTACTTTATATAGCGCATTTTGCTATGCAGGATTCGAGTTTCTTTGTTTATATCTTCGAACTACCCAGTAAGAACAGGACATTCTGTATCCTGCACAGGCATTAGTAGGAGCGCCCTCGAAGATATAAGCCAATATTTCGAATCCTGCATTGAAGCAAATCGTATAGTAATAGTGTACTTTTCAATAGTTTGTGACACATGCCATACTCTCGTGACATAACCCCTTTACTCCTTGAAGGCATAATAAAAAGGCAGGAATATTGTAACATGTTTATAATCCATTGTATAGACGTATAGTAAAATAGTAGTATTGTGGTTTGTGCTCATCAATCTTACTCCTGCGTGTTTGTCTATTGCACTAGTTTTTGTGTAACTTTGGTAGAAAAGGCTTAAATAAATGCTTCATTAATAAGCGTGTGAGAGACTGAGCATTAATTCCTCAGTGTTAAGTGTGTGAGAGACTGAGGTAAACTCTCCTCAGTGTTGTTTATAACACAGAACTTACAAATCAATTCATATCTACTGTAATCAACACCGAGTCTCAAACGTCCCATGCGGTAGTTCGCATATCAGAACATAAAAGGATTGGTA